CAGGGATATTCCAGCACGGAGACCCTCGAGAAGCAGGCACACTGCAGGGGCTGGAGCTCTGGGCTCGGTGCCGCGGGAGCGAGCGCAGCAGCAGGCAGCAGTGCCAGGTTGTGCCAGGCTCCGCAGGGCAGCGGGAAGCGGCAGGAGAGGCCGGCGCCACGGGCAGGAGGCTGCTGGCAGCGGAGCGGAGGCGCAGCAGGGAGGAGGCCGACTTACCTGCCGGGCCCTTAGAGGCCCCTTCTAAGGTGGTGGGTGGGCAAGTGGGTGCTCAGCCCGGGCCCCGGGGCTCCGCGTCCACGCTCACGTGTCCTAAAAAACGCAGCGCGCTCACAGGCCGGCCGCTGCTCCGCGCGTCGCCCGCGGGACCTGGGGGAACGCAGGACACGCTGCGGGATACGCATGTAAACAACACAGCAAAGCACGCCAATTACTTGCACAGGTAAATAACTGCCTCCCCTCATTAGAGTGATTGCCTATATGCATTTGTTTTTAAATTTTGAAACTGATTTATGGTTGTTTGAAGCCATATTGGTCACCTCAGGACGGAGGCGGCGACTCACAGTCTTAAGAATGTAAGTGGCACTTGYGAAACGCAGCGTCGCATCCGGAGGCTTCAGGAACCACATCCTGGGCTGAGGTGAGCAGATCCCTGGAGAGACTGCTTTATACTTCAAGCAGAAACAACTCCACAGCTGAGGCCATCTAGACTGGCATTAAATTCAGAGAATACGGGTCCCCTACCAAGACCCTGTCCTCCTAAAAGCTTTTTTTTTTTTTTTGTGGCAAACAGGTGGTTTGATATTCTCAGGCACGAGTTGGATTTATATTATATCCTCTCAGCAGCAGATATTAAGAATTTCAGTGAAACCTTGAAATAATCTTGATTCCTAATCCACGCTGGAAGCGGGACTTCCAGGAAAGAACCGAGTCCACTGAGTTTTCTTGCTCAAATCAGTACTGGGAAGCAAGGAGCCGTTCAGACCGGGATCACACAGCCAATATTTGATACGGAGTCAAGCTCAGGCTTGACTTTAGGCGCTCGATGAGATTTTCCTCACGTTAACTGATAACTGAGGTTAAAGAAAGTCCCTCTTGCTGTGAGAGGCTGCRGAGCCTGCTGGCTTTTTAATGACAGTGCTGCCAACACGCAGCCCACGTACAGTACTGATCAGGGCTGCGAGATGCAGCCACAAACGCYGCGGCACACCAAGGGGAACGGGGGGATCTGGTGGCTTGTGACACACACAAGAGCCACAAGGGAGCTGAAACACGGAGCCAGGATGTTAAAGATGAGATGGGGCCGTGCAGACGATGCCACTCAAGAGGCTGCGTGCCTCAGGGCAGCCCAAACGYGGTGTTTAGCAGATGGCACCGGTGGCCAAACACGCTCAAGCTGCTCCCTGCTGGACCACGGATGAGGCTAATGGTTCTGATTCAGGTGCGGCTCTTCCCGCCTCTATTCCAGCTCTTGCTTCCCTCCTTGCATCATCCAACTCGTTTCCTAGGAAATCTGCACCTGAGGCTTCTCAGCTCCACTGTTTTCCTGGGGGACCTCAGTTTGTGCCTTCTGTCCACTGTTCCAGGCTGCATTAAGGCTCAGCCTCAATCTCTCCCGAGTTCTTCACAACTAGCATCCCTCGCCAAGCAATCCTTGGGCTTTGCTGTTATGTATTCCCACCTCGTTATCCAGCTTCCCAACCTACATTTGGACTCCCCTGTGCAGCTTCCTCCACCAGAGGCCCTTAGTTCAGCTCTGTGCCCAACCTTGCCGTTCTCCYGTAACCATTTGCTGCCCCAAACCTAAGCTCTGTTCCCTGCCTGGAATCCATTCCCTGACTCCCAGCCTCCTTTCCCAGGTAATTCCAGCCTCGTGGTAATTCCATTCTCATGGCTTCCAGAGAACATTAACAAGCCTACACTTAAACCTGCTTTTCTGATAAGGTTAAAGAACCAGATCAAAATCCTCTCGCTCCTTTCCTCCCAGAGCTCCAAACTGAGCCTGGAGCAGCTTCCCTGTACGCAGATGTTGAGCCCAGGCCATTGCCATCTCATAGGGCGAGTTCATTTTCACAAGCACGSGAATTCCAAGACTGGAATTTATGATAGGAAGCAGTGGGTAACAGCAAGAGGTGTTATTGGTGTGGGATATAGCACCTTATTACACAACAGCCTCAGGGAAAGAAAAACACCTTTTGTTTCCCAAGACATCCCTGGAGGGAAAAAAAAAAGAAAATAGCCACAGAATGGAAAAAAACCACGCCGGGAAAGTCAGACATACTGCTTTTTAATTGAACTATCCCTCTTTGAAGGCCTTTCAAAACAAACTAAACCAAACCCACACTCACTCTGGACAGGGYAGAGAAACTCCCTGTTTTTTTCCTGCATAAAAAGTAGGTGTTTGCCCAGAAACCCAACTCCACCCTGGTGCAGATGCAATATATAAAGCGCTGGAGTGYTCTTCATCTGCCTGCTGATCCAAGCTGCTTCAAGCAACATTCTTCTGCAATTTATGTTGGCACAGGGCCTGTATATATGGCAATTATCTTGCCTGGCTGACTATATATATCTTTTTTTTTTTTTTCCAAAACACAATGTAGACCTACACATAGCCTGAGCTTCCCAAATTAAGGATTTAAACCAAGCTGCACTTCCTAGACAGAAGCAGGGCCAACACACACACACTSTCCTAGTGCAGACAAGAGATAAACAGGGCTGAGTCGTGCGGTATAAAGGCTTGGCCTAACTTAGTCTGCACTCCAGGAGAAGGGCAGCGCGTTCCAGATGCAGCACAGAATTTATTGCTAGACCTTGCAAGAACTGACACAGCTCCTAGAATGATTATCTCCAAATGCTTATCCAAGGAAGCTCCTGTGAACGTTGGATTTTCAAGGAYTGGGAAATGAAGAAAAGTATTCCTCCCCTGACTGAAGGTCAGCAGGGCCTTTATGTAGCAATAGTTATAAAATCCAGTGTGGTTTACAAAAAAACCCTATGGAATATGGTTTCCAAGTTGTGATAATCAGCCACTCAGAAATCTGCGATTTCTAAGGGATCCACAACTGATGGATGATAAAGAAAATGAAATAATCCTTGATAGAGATTTCCAAGACTTGATTTTTAATGTATGAAACTCGACCATGCAAACATGACTAAGTCTATATTCTCTAAAAAGAGAAATATCTTCTCCAAGACCATTTAAAGAACTGAACTTTCTCCAAGAGAAGAGGGTAACTGCAAAAGGATCTTACAAAACCATGGTGGTTCCTACGCTGTAGAACACCAAAAGCAATGGAGGTGTGCCCATGATTTTGCCCTTGGAGTCTGCTTTTCCAAAGGCATTTTGGTTTATTCTCAAGACAGCTCTTTTTCTGGACCTCTCTTAGAGGACATGGAGGCGAGCATAAGTGAGCAGAAACATTTTGTTTATATTTCTTCCATACAAATAACACTTTTTCATTCCAGCTTCAAAAACAGCCTTAAAGAAAACCAAAGATGGATTCTGATCCTGCAATTAACTGGCACAAACAGGTAAGTTTCTGCAAAATGTTAGTAGGCATCACCAGAAATTTAACACGTGAAGTTGCTTTCCACTATTTCAAATTGTCTCCACAACTCTGAAAGAAAATGAGTGTTTTTACCTTCTGATAGAAAGAAGGGGTTATCRGAGGTAGAGAGCAGTATTTACATAAAGACTGGCAAGCTGTTAGGTGGCAACCAGACAAATCTCTCCCATGCCATTTTGGGATATATTATACACCTGGAACACAATCAACTCAACTAATTTCAGGCTTGTGACTCCTCACAGATTCTCTAATGCACCTCAGTCTTGATCTGTAACCCCCAGGGTAACTTGAACCTCCCTTCTCTCCGCTGAGTGTTTTAGCAGTTTCCTAACCCGTTATTTTCCACACTTAAAGAAGAATTTGAGCACGGGTRTTTTTCATAGGACGGTACAAAATATATCACAGGATATTGCAGTATATAGTATCACAGTGTGACTTCTGCTCATTCCTCTGCAGTGAGGTCAGGTTTGCAAATCCGGTGTTAAAAGCAGGTTAAATAGGTCATAGCTTGGTATGCTTGCATGCATAGCTTTGCATGCATTGAAGAAACCAAAAWTGGATTTAAATAAAAATGCAGCTGGACCACATCTGTATTTCATAACTCCTTGACATTGTTCTGTGAGAACAAGAGGTCAGCTCTTTTACTCAACAGATACTATAGATGTACACGGCRGGTTTGCTTTTTCCCCTCCCTTCTCATGATATTCAATGCAATCAAATCCCTACTTTCTATCTGTTTTCTCTACCTGGATGTGACCTCTCACTCTGCAGAGCAATGAAAAACAACCCAAAAAGCAAACAAACACGGTGCCTCCAAAGGAGACAAATTTCCCTCCTCAAGCTTTCCAAAAAGCCAATCAATTCTCTCCGGCACGTTAAGCAAATTCCAACACGCTCTGTGCTTCCAGAGCCTGATTTTCAGCGGTGCTGATGCCAGGGGTATCCCCACGTTCTGGGTGTGACGAGCACGTTCAGGGACACGTTCTTGCTTTACCTGCTAGGTATTCTATGACGGCYGCCATGTACACTGGGGCTCCGACGCCTATCCGGTACTTGTAGGTCCCTTTCTTGAGGTAACGCATCATTCTTCCCACTGGGAAGATGACACCGGCCCTGCTCGAGCGCGAGAGTTTGGACATTTTCTTCTTCCCGCTTCGGCCCGACATCTTGCAGGTCTGTGCTGTTCAATTTGCTGGGGAATCTTATTCACTTGCTCCAACCCAAATGCTGCAAAAGAAAAAGACAAATTGTATTGGCACTTGGTGCGGGAGAAACGTCCTGACAGATCCCCTCGTTCTTACAGGGGGAAAGATCCAAATCCCACCCCAGTAACTGCTAAAGCAGACGCATCATTCATTAAAAGATGGATAACTGGAACATTTGCTACAGCTTTTCCCTTGACTACTGTGCTGTTAGTTTAGCAATACCACGGAAAGATGGGTTTGGAGAGTAAGGAGAGTCCTGGAGAAAACAAAATCACAACAAAACAGCATCAACATCAAACACTTCAGTGACAATTGCTAAGTTCAGCAAATTATAAATAGGGAACCGGTGTCATGAACAGCATAAAACTAACTGAAAAGCAGACACCGGTACCATTCCCTCCAAAAACCAGCGGGAGTTTTAGGTTGGTTTCCACACATTTTGGACTCTGTTTTGATAGCTGCCCTCATTATGATCCCAGTTCCAACTCTGTTGATCCAGATGCCACAGAAAACACTTGCATTAAGTGTTATTAAGTGTTAAGTGTAACGACATAATTCCTAGGATCCACTCACTTGAGTAACACAACGAAACAAAGGCAGGAAAATAACGGGAATAATATTTAGGTATTATTGAAAGCTGCTCATTTGTAACAGCCAAACTGAAGCGCAGTTTGCTGAAACAGTCTGAATTGAACACTGGTCCCACGTGGGATGCTGAGGAAATACAATCACCACGGGGTCTGCGGGGACCTACAAAACCCTGGAGTGTCCTTGTCTAKAAGGCAGGCAATTTTTCCTTCTGTGGGCAGTATATTATATAGACACAATAACTAAAGCTAAAGGAAAGATGAAAGCAGGACACCTTATCAGACATGGACCTGTCCAAATTAGTGCTGCTCATCATCCCTTCCGAGTTGCATGAGAATTAACACGGATTTTGGAAACAAAAAATGGCAGAAAAAGAGATAACAAAGATTCCCAAGCAATGTATTAATTGCATGTATTTAGAATAACCAGTTTTGTAAGGTGGGGACCAACTGCTAGGATGGAGTTKGCTGATAAGGACCATGAGGTTACACAGTAATGGACTTCAAAGGCATTAGAAAAAAAAAAAGGTTTCATATAAAGTATTCCATATATTCCTGTCAGATAGAAGGGAAAAAAGATAGATTGAGAGGAATCCTTAGGAAAGACACCAGTGTCRTGGGGTCTGACCTGGGACAACGGGATGGACAGGTGATCTCCTGAGGATCCYTTTTCCTGCCCTCTTGAAATCTTCTCCTTCTGGCAAGCCCTTTATACAAATRATCACTTTTATGTTACGCCTTGTGAAGTGGCCTTTTCAGTTCGTGCGGTAGCTGACATTCAAATTAATGAATAAACGTGGGCTGGGAATGAGGTTTCCAGCCACTCGAGGGAAGAATTTCTGCAAGAGCCTTCTGTTGCAATAAGAGCAGCAATAACTCACTTTAAGATGGCACTTATTAATAAATTGTACGCACCGGGTTATGATTTGATTCCTGCATTAGCAGCAGGGCAGCTTCAGGGCCACGAAAACTCTGTCCTGCCCCACAAGCCCTACCGAGAGCCACGGGGAAGAAGAGACTGCAAAGAACCACGTATCAAAAYCATATTAAGCTAATCCCTCGGGTACTTGTTCCTATAGAACCAAATCCCAGGTGTTTGCAAATGGGCGGAAAAAGCAGCACCACGAGGCTGGCATCCGTAGGAAACCCTGCGCTTGTCCTTGCTCTTTGTGGCTGGGAAAAACATAAGCAAAACACACTTGGATAACGGAGCCCGGCGCCCCAGGGCACACGGCTGCGTTATATAATAATTTCTGCGTATAATTAATCACTTCTGGCTCATTCTTCCATTGCCTTATCTACATTTCCACCTCTTTCTTCACCCCTTTATTTTCCCCCTAATCTCTCACAGTCACTGCCAGCCTTGCAGCCGCCTCCTCCAGGTAACCTCTGATTTCCAAGCATTTCCAAAGCATTTTTCTAAATACCCCTCACGTGGCGGACCAGGAGCAGCCGCGGGGTTTTGTAAGAGCCCCCAAACACCAGGGAAAACACAAAGCTTCAAAACTCCACTAACACTTCWTTTTTTTTTGCGATTTATAGGGAGCTGGCTATACTGGCAGGCACACTATATAAATAAAGGTGYGAAATACCACAGGGCTGCGTTCTGACCTGCTCCCACAGGGGAGACGGCTTTTGGTAGAGAAAAATACATCATCAAAGCTAAGAGTATACGTACCATGGGGAAAAAAAMCCCACACTATATATACTTATATATACATATGCACCTATGGATATATAATATATATATGTATAATCCTATAGAGAGAGAGAGAGTTTGGGGTCCTGCTGGCTCATTCCTGCCCCGGCAAGGGCCTGCTTTGCCCGTTAGGGTGGGAAGGAAGGCAGAGCTGAAACCGGCCTCACCTCGGGGCCGCCCTCGCCCACGCAGCGAACAAAGGCCGGGAGGAGGCGCCGGGCCCCGCCACGCCGGGGCGGCCCGGGGGTCCCGGGGAGCGCCCGGGGGTCCCGGGGAGCGCGGCAGGGCGCGCAGGCCCTAGGCCAAGGCTCGGGTTTAAGGCAAGGCCGCGGTCCGAGGCGGGCGGCCCGGGAGGCGCCGCCGCCGCCGC